TTTACAATTCTACATTTATAATTTATATAAATCTGTTGGCAAGGTCAATAGTGTGTGACGTCCTTCTCATTAAACCTCCTCCTTTAATGCTTAACGTTTCAGTAGACAAAACATTTACATAGGTTCGAATTTAATGCACACTTCGAAACTTTCTTTAATTAAATCGTTGTCCTAATAGAATCCTGAAAGAACAAACAAGAACACTATTTACGAAGCTGTGATTATGATTGAAAACCTTTATTTAATAGAAATTAAAAATAATTGTGTGTTTGCAGCAACAAAATTCAATTTTGACTCAAACACTTTAGAAAGCATTGAAAGTGTCTGTAACATCAATCGAATCATCAATCAATTATATTGCCAGCTTTTTATTGCCTTGCCTTCATTCAATGAATGAAAAGTTTGTTCTCAATATTGCACGCAACTCCATTAAATAGTCGTTAAATCAATCACTTGCGTGCACAGACATCGTGTTTGAAGAATATTTAATGAGGCAGCTTTAAAGTTGACAAATTTGCTAATTAGAGTAGAGGTCCTTTGAAGGACCCTCCTCCCCCCTCCACAAGTGCAGGCGAAATAGTCAAAGCGAAACCGCAAACTAACTCTTCTCCCGGCTCTGTTTTGACAAACCGCAGTGGCTGCAAGCGCCGCCCACTGCCCCAAAACTTGCAATGTATCTTTATAGTATATATAATGTATAGTATATACTATATAGTATATTGTATATATATACAGAGGTTAGGCAGCCCATTAAAAGTGCATTTAGTGAGAATTTATCTGCTTGTGGAAAGGCAGCAGCCGCAGGCGCATTCGCCACTCGGCACTCGACTACAAGTGTGCGTGCCCGTGCCTGTCTGGCTGCCCCGAATGTGCACTGCGGAACGCACCGGATCCGGAAATAAAATAATTTTGGTAGCACTCATCGCTTTTGCAACAACTGTGGCAGCAATAGAAACGGCAACAGCAACAGCAACAGCATCAGTGGCAGTGGCAGTGGCACTCGGACTGTGTTTGTTGTTTGGCTGGCAGCCGGGTCGGGGGGAAGCTCCGCTGCTAATGCAAATGTTTGGCTTTGTGTGCGTGCCTCTGTTTGCCGGCTCGTGTTTTTCGCATTTAGCCAAAACACTTTAACCGCATATTCACCTTGGGCCTCTGGGCCTCTGGGCCGCCTGCTCGTTTGTTGCCATTGAAATCGTCGTCATAGTCGTCGTCGCAGTCAGGCAGTCAGGCAGCCATGGGTGCCCCCTCCTCCGTGTTGCCAAAGGCTCGTAGACTGCCTTTGGCTGCTGAGCCGAAAAATGTTTCATTGCTTTGGCTCGGCCTCGGCCTCCCCTGCCTCTCCTGGCTCTCCAGCCCCAGACGTCGCCTCTTTTCATGCATGCATGGGTTTCTATTATATAGCATATCGTAATCTCACTTGAGCCAAAGGTTCTGTACGCGCCGACCCATACAGACACACAACAAACAAACAAACAGACGCACACATTCAAGTATACCCTTACATACATACACACATGTGTATCTATTTATGTCCAACACTTTGTAAATAGTCAGAGTGTTTATTACTCGGCGCCATGGCTCTGGAGTCTGCCTTTTACGAGCTTTACAATTTAGAAGGGAGAAGTTAGAAGTGGAAACGTGGGTGCCCCATCACTATTCCCAGTTGTAAATGCATTGTTACCGGAAAAGCTGACCTAGCACCGAAAGTTGTCTCATTGCAGGGAGGGGAAAACCCTTTACTCTGCCACTCAACTTCATTCGACTTCATTGCCATTAAAGTTCTGAAATGGGAAATTCATCTTCAATTAAATGCGGTTTCGTATTGTTTTTAGTCCACCTAAGAATAGCGAGCTCATCGAATATGAATCGAACAATTCTAGACTGATTAGCAATAACATTTTCATACTTGAACTCAGGTTAGATTAGACTACAAAGGCATCTCAACAGGATTCACTTATTTCAATCAGCTGACGTCGTTGAAAAAAAAAACATATGAAGTGGAAGAAAACAATAAATAATCAATTAGTTACTTTTAAACTTACCTTACTATTCGAACCGATCCTATTTGACTCTATACCGAAATATTTGGGTTTAGTTTTTTTTAGAAATACAGACAAATATTTCGTAGATAATTTTTTATAGCATTGCAAAATTTGTATATGCCTGCCTTTTGTTTTTGTCTAATGTGGTATCCAATTTTAATTAATCCAGAAATTATAAAGAAATATCTAATGGATATCCCCACAAAGACTCCTGCCGCAGTTTTGAAGATGGGGAAGGCATGGAAGGTATCCCACACCCTCTACGCGACTGCCTTGCACTTCTTAGAAAACGATTCTACGAAGACCTAGAAAGTCTGAAACTTGGAAACTGGTGCTCTTAATTTAATCCACAATATGGTTCCAAGATGTTGCGTAAAAGCCAATCGCCAAGCATAATCAGGCAGCACTATAGGCCTCTGGGTGGAGCCAGATATTGTCCTCTTATAAGATAATGTCTTGTGGAAGTCGAACCACAAGAAATCTCTATATATATAAAAAAGTTTGTCCTGACTGACTAACTGACTGACTGATTGGCAGTCAACGCACAGCCCATACGGTAAGAGCTAGGAAGGGGTTTTGGAAAATTCTAACTCTAAAGGGGGGAAAACGCGTTCCGACGTTTGTATGAAAAATCTACAATTTTCATCCGAATAACTTCAAACTTAGTTTGTATAATCTCATAAGGAATACAAGAAAAACTGTATACTTGGTTTATCGCTAGTAATAAATAAGTTCAAAGGTAGTAAGTATGCTTTCCCATATAGTCAGTTATTGCTTAAATATAAATACAATAGAATTTAATTTGAACGGGCATATGTATTTTCTCTTTCCACAACTTTGTTAGTAATGTAAAAAATAAAGGGGTAAAAGGAATGCAAATATAACGGGAATGAAAGTTTGCTGTTTAGCACGTCTTTTCTTTTTAATGTCGTGGGTTATTTCAATAGAAATCAGCAATATTGGGTTGTGGTTTTCAACATATAATTATTAATAATAGTTACCACTTCGATTTGGCAGTCAAGAACTGCTCTTCATTTCGTTTCAATGATGAAAGCACCATCATACAAAAATAACAAGTAATGCTCTTTTTCTCCGTAGCTGTAGCTTCCGAGTTGCTAGCCTCTGCCTGGCGATTAGTTTCCAAAGCAACCCTGCAATTTTGTCGCCTTTTCGGTTAATTAAAAGCCAACTGTCAAGGCGATCTCTCTGGCCCCAGAATGGCGAAGCAATTAGAGTGTGTTTGTATTTAATTTGTTTGAGTTTCTGCAGAAATAACAATGCCTTCCACTCATCTAAATGGGTAATCTCTATAGAAGTGTGCATACGAGTACAACTGTCTCCCAACTTTATTCGAATAGTCATCGTTATGCGCGGTGTTGGTTACAAATTTTCGAAAGCAAGGCTAGGAAGAACAGGACCGCCAACAACAAAAATAAAACAAACATTTTCTCTCACGAAATTTATCGTTTGCCTAAATTTGCTTTATTGCCAGGACACTGTTGTTGCTGTTTTCGCGGCCCAGCTAGACTTGTTTGTGGCAGAAGAAATGTATATACGTGTGTGTGTGTTTATGCTAGTAACGGAAGTGTAACTTTCGCTGTCAGGCCAACAACAACAACAACAAAAACATCAGAAACAGGAACAGGAGCAGCAACAACAACAACAACAACAGCAACACCGAAGACAGCACAAATGTGGCGAGCAAAGTTTTCCATTATTCAATTTTGCTAATGAAACTGAAAATTCATTTTACCACATTAACAAACACAGAGGCGGGCCGTGGCGACTGGTGGCGGGGCTGGGCAGGACGAAATGGGAGACGCGACTGCCGACAGGCAGGACATGTGTGCGTGCCACATCCTACTGTTGATGTTTAAGTTGTTGTTGTTGCTATACCCTGTAGTAGAAAAGGACTATGCGGTACATGGGTTTCTTGTCTGTATTCGGAACTGAGATATACAACAGTTTATAAAACCACCAATACCATAGGGTCCTAGATACTTTGTTAACCCATGGGTGAAATATTTTCCCGGTTTCTCTCAATCGAGCTCTGTTGCTCGGAAGTAGTAATGTGCTGTACATCGGTGTTTAGTTTGTATTTGGAAAACAATTAGAGATATACAAACAACACCCTAGGGTCCTAGATGCTTTGTTAACCCATGGGTGACAAATTTCTCCAGTTTCTTTTTATACTTTGGTGCTCGGACTATCAGCAACTACCAATGGCCAATGGTTTTGGAATTGTAGACAACGAGCTGAGAACCTTTCAGAATGCTTTGTTCAAAGCACATTATCCCCTTTGATCGAGCAAATCTTCATCGGGTTGCATTAACTCTAAAACTATTCTTCTCTATTGTTTTCTTCAATATTCTGTGAGTCGAGACATAGCTAAGTATTCCCTTTAGTTTTTAGTTCGCTATTATCTTTTCTCTCATCATTTTTTAGCACAGGGGTAGCTAAGACTCCAAGTACAATGCACACATTCGTTGCAGAGGGTATTGGACCTTCGAGTTCATTCAGCTCTAGTGTTCTCAGCTGTTGTTGTTGTTGCTGCTAGTCCTGCCATAGCTGTTGTCGTCAATGTTATAAAACGCGAAAATTTATATTTGGGGCCTGAGGACGACGCCACCCTTGCAGCAAATGTGTGGCATTTTAATAATTAAGCATATTTCGAGGCGTTTTCATGTCCGTTTGCCACGACGACTGGTGTGGAGTGGAGTGGAATGGAGTGGGTATCGCCCTTCAGCGAGTGGCTGGCTAGCTGGCTGGCTTGGTCTGGCCCGACTTGTTTGTTTTATGTTGCAACATTTGGCAGGAGGCAGCGTGCCAATGTCCGTTATAAATTATGAGCCTAACTGTGCTTTTACGAGTAGTTCATTTGCTTGGCAGGCAGCTCCCACACCCCACACTCCACACTCCACAGTGCCCAGTCCCCTAGTCAAGATTTATGCACGGCTCTTAGGTTTACGGGAAATTTTTATTGCTTTCATCAATTGTCGAGTTCAGGAATAGGCGGCCATTATTAAATAGGACGCGCTTTAGGTTGGAAAACGAAAGTGATTTGCATTCCATTTAAAATTGAATGCAATGTGATCCACTTGAATCGAATGTGTATTCTTTGATTGGGTCTGTGTGCGTGTTTGTGCGTGTCCTAGTCGTCGTCTTCATCCTCGTCGTCGTTGTCGTTGTCATCATCATCGTCTGGGTCCTCGTCATCTTCGTCGTCGACATCGCTGCAACTGCTTCCGCTATTGAACTGTCTTGTCCCGCCCAGTTCGTCGTCGTCCGCAGCTTCCTCGCCACCACCCACAACGAATTCCATGTCCGCTTGCGCATCCTCCACTACCCCTAAGCAGTCGCCATCAGCATCGATCTCGACATGATCCCCATTGCCCAACTCATGTCTGAGGAGGCAGTTGCCGTTGGGCACCCGAAGCTGCCCCAACGAACAGAGGGTGTTGTCGGCATCCTTGAGTGGCTCCGGTCCCGGGGTAGATGGACGACCACTCGACTTGGGGGTCTTGTCCTCGCCCGCCGCATTGCGTGGATTGTTCGACATGTCCTTCTGGCCTGTGGCCTGGCCCTGGCTGGTGCGAGTGCCCGGCATCAGGAGCGGCAACAGATTTGGTTCTATGCTGCGCTCATACTCTGTAAAATTGAAGAGCGGTGGCAGCGGGCGTCCGTTGGGGAGCGTTTGGTGCGGGTCTTGACGCAGTTCGTCAAAGAAGGGATGTGCGCAGGCCATGAGGGGTGAGATACGCGAATTGGGCGTATATACGAGCAGCTTCGACACAAGATCTATGGCCTCGGAGGGGGTGCGTATGCGGAAGACTTTGGCCCAGGGATGCGGCTTCAGTTGGGGCAGCTTGAATTGCTTGTAGTTGGGATTCATCTCGCGCAGCTGCTCATTGGTCGGTGTTCCCATGACCTTCACAATCTCTACGATCTGATCGACGCCCGAGTCGCCCGGAAATAAGAGCTGTCCAAGCAGCAGTTCAGCGAGCACACAGCCGGCGCTCCACATGTCTATTTTGGTTGTGTAATTGGTCGCCCCAAAGATGAGCTCGGGGGCGCGGTAATAGCGCGAGCATATGTAGGACACATTTGGCTCTCCACCGATCAGCTGCTTGGCGCTGCCGAAGTCGCACAGCTTGAGAATCGCGGACTCCGTGTCCAGAAGCAGGTTCTGCGGCTTGATATCCCGATGACAATACCCGAAACTGTGGATATAGGCCATGCTCCGGAAGAGCTGATAAATGTAGAGACGGACGAAGTTGATCGGCAGCGTCTGCTTGGCCCGCGCATATTGACGCTCGATCTTGTAGAGCGTGTCCGGAATGAACTCCATGACCAGGTTGAGGTAGACCTCGTCGCGCTTCTCGCCGCTCGAGTAGAAGAAGTACTTGAGGGTCACTATGTTGCAGTGCTTGAGCTTGCGCATGATCTGTAGCTCGCGGTTCTTGAAGCGGCGATCTTGGAGCACCTTCTTGATGGCCACTTGGTCGTTGCTGGGCAACATTTTGGCCTGGAAAACAACGCCGAAGCTGCCGTTGCCGATTACCTTGCTGTCCGTGTAGCTTATCTCGATCATGATGTCTGGACCATATCCGGCAGTGGCCACCACCGTGGTCACTTTGTTGTTGTTCAACGAGCTTTGGTTCTTGTTGGTGCTCATCGTGCTCGCACGGGGTTGCGGTCTGAAGTGTGGTTGGTGTTTGGTGTGCGGTGGTTGGTGTGTGTTTTATGTTTTTTGGGATATTTTTTTAAAAACAGCTTAAAGAGAAATATCGTGTGCGAGAAACTGACGTTACTGTGTCAAACCGAATCACAGGTCTACTAAGTACACTCGTATTCCGGCTCTTAATTTCGTGCTTGACTTCCTTGCTTGCTTTCCTCGCTTGCTTTTATTTTCTCAACGTCTCTGCTGAATGAAACCTCAAAGCTTGCTGCTCGCTGCTTGCTGCTTGCTGCCCGAACGTTCAAATTTCCATTGCTGCCACATCGAGTGTCAGCTGCCAGGGTTGTTGTGCTTCCCAACAAATGCTACAGTCACTCCTTGACTTTGTCTACAACCCTACTAATATACACGTAACAGGCTACTAAGTGATCGCTATCGCAGCTGACAATATCAATTCGATATATGGATGTAATCGATCAATCGATCAAATTTGTGAACTAGATCCGTGAACTCGCAGGTCGCATGCCAAGCTACTTCAAGTATAGTGCATATAATATTAAGGGATAAATTTCAGCTATAGAACTTGGCCGTGAGATCATTAATACATCAAATATTCAAAATAATTGTTGGCTAATGATTTGTGCTGCTTTGTGTGTCTTACGCCTGCTTTGGCTAATATTTAAACTAAATTTGAAATCAAATCAAATAGGCCTAAAGCTTCTTAGCTCGTTAAAAAAAAAAAAATTGATTATAAGCTTTATTTTTAACAACAAACTTATTGCATTGTCTTTATTCCGGCTCGAGTTTTATTTTATTATTATTATTAATCAAATAGGCCTATAGCTTCTTAGCTCGTTCACAAAAGAATTGATATTATTTTTAACAACAACCTTATTGCGTTGTCTTTATTCCGACTCGAGTTTTTTTTTATTATAATTATTAATTGTCGTTGAGCACACTTTGCTTAAGGCTTACGATTTTGGTAATCTAGCTGCTCTTGGCGTGAAGGACTTGCAAGGACTCGCTTTGGCTGGTTGTTGTCGGCTTATCGGCTAAAACTTTGACATCTGTTATGACTATTCATGACACACACAGACACACCCGTTGCAGCGACCCACACCAGTTAGAATGCGGTGTAGTGTACATTGTTTCGCACACTCTCAAGAGCAGACTCGAATCTGAATCTGAATCCGAATCTCAATCGCAATCACAATCGCAATACCAAGTTTGGCTGCAAAGTTTTGGGGTGCTCAGAGCTTTTGTCTCCCCGTCGTTGGGCCTGTTGGCATCGTCCTTTTGTCTTGGCCCAGTGCTTATCGGCCGTGTTGTGCCTTTTGTTATGCTTGTTACTTTTTGTTACACTCCGAAGTGGAAAGTGGCCCTGGGGTGGCATTTTTGGATAACCCAACAAGAAGCCGGGGTCAAACAATTGCTGCTGCTGCTCGAGAAGAAGGGAGAAAGAAATTGGACAGCCACTGACAATTTGCTTTGTAATTTTGTATAAAATGTTTTTATTTCGAGTTTATTCTTTATGTATATAGTACATTCAATATCATATATATATTAGATATATAAAAGTGACACCCATTGTAAAATCTTGTTAGACATATTCTTGAGTATGTATTTATGCGTGTGTTGTATAAATGTTTTGAGTTACACAGATATTCAAATATGCACGCATGTCTCTATGTACGAGTATGTATGTATATATATATATATCGTGTATGCACTAAAAATCGTTTAAGCTTACAAAGAGTGGAGTATGTGTGTATACATACTTATATGTATGTTATTGGTAATTTATTGCATAACACGCACACACACTCATGTTTGTTTATTTATTCATACTTGTAAAATGCTAAAATTTTCAATTCAAACATTGAAAAAACCACAATAAAAATTGCTATGCTTGCATAATAATATTAAGTTTCATAAAGTGGCAGTGTTTGTTTAAGTTCTTCCTTTTATTTGCATTGGACAATAAAATACAAATGCACACCCACACACACGCACGCAGGGTGGAGACACATACGTATGCATGCATGTATGTGTATATTTATTTACATATTGCGTATAACTAAAAAGTAAATAGATAGATACAGTCGTTACCATTAAATTAGTTGTAAACGCTTAAACTAAATTAGGCTTAAAATATGTATAGCTGCCGCATATATGTATTGTGTGTGTTGGTGTGTGTGTGTGTGTGTGTGTGTGTGTGAGGGTATCATTGTGTGCCTGCCTGCTCCTTACATAAATATTATTGAAATTGCTGGACGTTGTTGGCATAAGTAAGTGAGTATGTGTGTGTGTGTGTATGTAAATATGTATGCAATTTATTTTTATAGCTATGCTTCTATGTATGTATGCTTGTATGTACGAGTATGTATGTATGTTTGTTTTTCTATTAAAATTTCTATTTCTATATAACACACGCTACTAAAGTTATTTGGCTTTGTTTAGTTGTTGCTGTTGCTGTTGTTGTTTTTCATGATTTCTGTTTCCATTACTACTCTCCATTCCATATCATTCCATTTCGTTTCGTTTCGATTCGTTGTGGTCAACGCTGCAGTAAACTAGAAATTTTTACATGCGCCCGAAAGCATGCAACATTGTTTTTATGTTGGCTGCATGCTCGACTCGGCTTTTGGGGTTATTATTTAAATGCGTATCAAATTGGTTCTTAGTAGTTAATAAAAAAGTATATTTAATTTACTCGGCCGCAGCACGCGCGCTCTCACACGCACACGCACACACACACAAAGACACAGTCAAGGCAGCATAACAATAAAATTTTATATTTATCGCTGACGATTTCCTTAGGCCGGAAGCATAGCCTGCCAGTCTGACTGACTGTCTGCATGTGCGTGTCTGTATCTGTCTCTGGGGGTGTGTGTGTGTGTGTGTGTGTGTGTGTGAGTCTGCGTATAAGCATAAATATTGCGCTTCAGTGTGCGTGTGTTCGTCTAAGACGCCCGCTGGATGTTTGTTTGTCTGTTTGTCTGCAGCGCATATTTTAATAAATTTTATGTCGTTGAAATGCGCGCCGCTTATCATTAACGCACAATTTATTTTTGCTTTTATGCTTGCCTACGTTTGTTTTCGTTGTTGTTGTTGTTGTTGCTGTTGTTGCCTCGCCGTTTTTATCTGTGAATTACGTTACATTATGTGCGTTTGTGTTTGTGTGTGTGTGTGTGTGTGTGATTGTGTGAGTGTTTGCTTTTTGGCTTTTTGATTATTTGCTGTTCGTTCGCTGCTGCTGCTGTTGCTGCTTCTGCTTCCTTCACATCCTTAACTTATTTCGTTTTTCGTTTAAGACAGTTTGAATTTTTAAAGTGTTTCTGTTCATTTTTGTTTTTCTGTGTTTTTTGCTTAGCTAATTAGATTTTCGTCAATTTGATCTTTTGCTTATGCTGCTGTTGCTCTTGCTGTTGTTCCTCTTTTTATATGTACACTGTAGTTCGTTATCTATTTACATGTGGCATAATGTGCATTTAACTTGCAAAATGGGGGCCCGCAAACAAGCGAGTTGCTCCGAAACTTTTCCACAACTTGCCCGGCAGTCTAGTTGGCGGCTTTTAAATGTTGTTTATTGTTGATGTTGATGTTCGGCTGCGGAGCTACGTGTGCATGCGTGCATGCATATACATAAATACATGTGTATATATGTATACATATATATATGTGTGTATGTGTGTGTGTGTGTGTGTGTGTGAATAGACACGTATAGCTTGCTTTTGTGCGCGTGTAGTTTAGTTTAACTTTACACTTTACACGCATGCAGCCCGAGTAGTTTTGTTTGCTTACAACCAAGCCTGCTGTTGTTCATAGAGTTGCTGATGCTGTTGTTGTTGTTGCTGCTGCTGCTGTTGTTGCTGCTGCAGCCAAAGTTTGCAGAATGCTGTTGGCGGCGGTGCCGAGGCACACACGGAGGCGACTGCGTCGTCTACGGAGTAAGCGGGCCTTGGCTATTGCAAATTAAATTTAGCTAATTCTCACAATTCTGTGCTCATTTCGCTTACTATTGCGCTCTGTTGTTGTTGTTGTTTGTTGTTGCATTTGTTCGTTGGTTGGTTGGTTGGTTGGTTGGTGGTGTTGTCGTTGCAGTTGTGTGGTGGCATGAAAAGAGAAAAAGGGCACACACATATGTTAGAAATGTACAAAGGAAAGTTTTGTTTATTGGCTGCAACTTAGTTTTATAAAATGCGTGTGTATGCGCGTCGTGTATATTGAGCTAAGCAAGGCGCGTGTGTGTGTTATGTGGGTGTGTTAGTTTTCTACAGTTCAAATGCGTTAGTGCTACGCTGCGTATGCGTAATGTGCGATATACTTATTGGTGCATTTACATACTAAATAAAGCTTTAAACGAATATAAATAAACCTGTTTCCATTTCCAAGAACTTTTTATTAATTAAACGCAAGCGTTGGCTGCTTAAGCTGAATTTTGTGTTCAAAGGTAGTTCAAAGGACTAAACATAATTTTAAAGCTTAACTGAACTTAATAGACAAAGACACTTGCCTGTGAAATATATTGTTCTGAACAATTAACCAGCTAAACGACCCAAAATAATTAGTGTAATAAAGTTTGTAAGCCAAATCTTTAAATTTTCTAGGGTTTTACTTTTAGACACCACCTTTACCTTAATCAAGTTTTTCAATATTTATTATCCAAGCAATGTTTATAATGCGATGAATTATCAAATAGAAAAGTTTAATTCTAAAGGAAAAAATGCTATAAGTTGTCTATAAGTTGTTGAATTTTAATCTTATTCTATTTATTAACCAAACCACGTTGGATTATCGAATAAATTGAAAGAAATAATCAAATTGAAAAGCTAAACACAATATTGAGATTTGTTACAACTTTACCGCTTTTGCTTTTATTTGGCAGAATAAAAATCAAAAACTTCATAACTGTGCGAATGTCCGCAAAAGAATGTTTTTGCGAATAGTCGGTGGAATAGGTGGGTCAAGAATTTCGAAATTTACTTTTAATTGTATTGTTCTACATTTTACTCATTTTTTCCAAATGAACATATAAAGTAAAACAGAACGGAGCACCCAAATATTATCTACTCTTAATTTTAAATCAACTTTTTTTCCAGCAACTCCTTTCTCTTTCAAATAGACTGTGGATATGGAAACATTATACATATTATTGTGCATTAGCATCCTTAAAAATAAGCTCCTACAAAGTAAAAATGTAATATGTACTCTAGTTTTGAAATCCAGACCAACTGCCAATTCGAAAAAGGCGGAGGTTGATTAAAAAACAGCAATTAAAATTTCCCACAAAGTCCAATGTTAAATGCAAATAATAATGATATTTACGAAAAGTGTCATATTGTGTAAAGGGGAATAGCATTTGGTTGGTTTTCGAAGCCTGCAAAGGAATTATTGCTGATTGATATCTGTCAATGGGCTTAAGCGCTACGCTGCGTATGCGTAATATTTGACATATTGCCACGCATAAGTAGAGAACATGAAATGAAAAAACAATAACAGAGCGCTCGTATCGTTCATAAAGGAAATAAAAAATATGAAAACTTTATGCCCGCCGGCCATAAAAGTGCGGCCGGACGCCAACAGACGCCATCACTAAGCCGTTAAAATATCCCATTTGTACGAAGGGGCTTCTCGTACTCGAACATGTACATACAAACATACATACTTGTATGTATGTATGTATGCATGTATGTATTTGTATATTTGGTTGTTACTCTGTCGCTGTCGTTGTTCATGGTCGGGCACAATTTGATGGCAGAAGCCAAATTGAATTTATAGTTATGCGACAGTTATGGCGCCACTACACAAATAATTACTTAATTTAATCATAAAAAACAACAACAGAACACAAGAGAAGAGAACAGAAGAGAATGGATGGGGCGGATGGAGTGTCCAAGAGTTTTCATATAGCCATTCATAAGCTTATCTCTTGAAAAATGTGAGCCAAATTTACGAGTGCGTGGCGGCACTTTCAACATTTTCAGCACTTTTTTCTCTGGCTGTGCGAAAAATGCGTAAACTTTTTGTGGGACCTTTTTGTTGTTGTTGTTGTTGTTGTTGTTGTTGTTGTTGTAAGCTTGCCCCTTTGCGTGCGGCGATGCGTTGCCAATGAGTTCAGTCAGCTAGCCAGTTAGCCAGTCAGCCACTCAGTCTGACAGGCAGGCCAGGCAATGCGGGAGGGGAAGAGGGAGGGGGAGGGGGAAGGGATATTCTGACAATACAAGGTCGAACGCGCAGCCTTTCCTCGGCTTGCTTTTGTTTATTTTGTGGAACATTTAGAGCGCAAAGTACTTCTGTGATATGAAATGTTCGCCTTACTTCCATTTTGCGCCTTCTCCTCGTTGCTCGCTTTATTCTTTTTTATTTTGCCTCGTTTTTTGTTTTTGTTGGTCTGCTTTTCCTGTGGAAATTTGTATTTATGTTTGTTGCGTGCGTTGAAAAGTGTGCGAAAAGGGGCGGAGGGGTGTGTTGGCTGGGTTTGGGGTTTGGGGAAAAATATCATTGCCGGCTCGCACTCAGCACACGCTGACGTCGTATATTTTAATGTTGTTGCTTTGTGTTTTTCTATGGCCGTCATATTTTCATCTGTATGTGTGTGTGTGTGTGTTTATGTTTTTCGTAATTTCGTTGTTGTCTATGTGTTTGTTTGTGTGTGTGTGTTGAAAATTATGTATATTTTTAGCACTTTCGCTTGTTTTGTTTTCGCTTATCGAGTTTGAAGGTCATTTGCTTAGGTTGGGTCGAACAATATACGAGTACAAAGAGACAGACGAGCGAACGAAAGGTCCCAAATGGCTGCAGACAAACACACACACACACACACACACACTCACGCACACACATGAATGCCATGTGTATCATATTTTCATATACGAGCGAGCATGTTTGTTGGCTGTAGTTAATTTTTTGTGAAATTGCCATTTTGTTGCTTCAATGGTTGCGTGCAATGCGGCGTATGAGTAATTTTTGTTGCCAACCAAGCAGAGGCACAAATATAAAGCAGCCTTTTGGGCGCGCTAATGAGGCGCCCAAAACGAAATGTGTCATCAAGTCCAAAAGAGCAAGCAGCACAATTCGCAGACCCGAAAAACATATACACATGCTTTAAAGTCAATTTGTGAACATACATATATATATTCTCTATATATTCTGGGTCCTGGCATTAAGCTATTCGTTTGTGAATGGGCTGTCGAATTTCCCAGGCGCCCGGCATTTTCGTGCAATTGAAAAATTGCCCAATCGCGACACGGTGGAACACAAGCATTATTGTCTTCGGGCCTCTCCCCCCTCTCGCATTTCGCGGCGCATAAATATTTGTGTGCTTTTTGCTTTGTCGAGCGTGAAAACGGCAGCAAAGCAAACAAACTGACGGCGCGCACTCGAATCACATGTAAATCCCAAATAAAAGCAAGAATATTGAAATGAAAGCGAAAACGAAAGCGGAAGCGACTGCCTAGCCTTGTCGTCTATCTCGCATTGCTCGCATTGTTCTCATGGCCCGACTCCTTCCCGACTCCGACTAGCAATTGAAAATTGGCAGCTGGTAAAATGTTTTTCGACTTGCCCCTTGGATGGGGCATGAATGATATGCGGCAAAGGCTCCAAGTCGAAGGCGAAGTCGAAGCCTGTAGGGATCGTAATGCGAAGCGAAGGCCTAACGGGCACATTAATACATAATTTATAATGTTTTTATTTGATTGTGTTTTACTTTGCCTCGCTCTTAAAGGCAATGTGATGGAAATGGCAAAGGAGTCGCAGTCACAAAAACAATGCCAAGTGTCGGGGCTTTTCAATTTTTAAGCGACATTGACATTTCAGGGAATTGAGTTTAATTCTCCGGAATTGTTGTTTTCGAAAATACTGTCGAAACAAAGACAATGTGATATGGAATTTAGTTAATATTAATGAGGTGCTCTTAATCGAAAAAAATTGAGAATAGAAACACAAATATCGCATTTTAAATAAAAACGAATTGATGCGAATTTTTGTTTCTTTTTGTTAGAGTATAGCATAAATAGGGTATCTATGGAGTGCAAGCATTAACAGACGCAAATTAGAGTGTAAAGTAGATAAGATATAAGTATATAATATACAATGTAAATATACATTTTTTAATAATCACTTGTTAAGCGTACTGAGTACACTTGGTATTTAAATTTTTCATTTCTGAAATTTATGATTAGTTTTAAATTGTTTTGATTTTGGTTTTCAGAGATCTTTTAAAACCAATTGGACTGACAACCTTTGCTCTTCCTTAAATAAAATAAAGGCAAGAAAATGATGAAAACTGAGAACAAATTTTTATTTCAGTTGAAAGCAGAAATTTAGGACTCGAACTGCAATTGAACTGATTAATTGTAATGGGGATAGATGCACTCCCCATAGAACATATTTAAAGGATGCTTTTTCAAGTCTCTGTAATATAGATTATAGTCCCCAAAATAATGAGTTGCTTAGATATTGTACTTCAGTAATTGAAATATAATGATTATAAGAACTTAAATAAGAAACATCCAGAACTTAGATGGAGCGGAAAATTGTGGATATATTTCCACCTCCTGCAGGGCTCTACTTGCTTCTAGGTATGGACTAGATTGCTCTTGGGGTTGGGAACTCAAGGCCCATGCATTTATGTGTTTTGCAGACTACTGAACTAAATCGAACTGGCAGGAATTAGAAACTATGTCAAACATAAACTAAACTCAACTGAGTTTGTTTGTTGTTTTATTTTTTTTGCCCTACTGCAAGGCTCAATGCGCTGTTCAGCTACAATATGGAGTCTCGGCAATAGGGCAGAGACAATGCTAGTTTGTTGTATGTGGCTGTAGTGGCATGCAGGGGGGGTTTAACAAAAAGAAGAAGAAGAACAAGAGATTGACAACAAATGAAACTTGTTTACAATGCAGTACAAAACGGGCAGCTGGAATACAAGTAGATAATAAAGAACGCAACGGACGCAAAAGTTGCAGAATGGTAGAAGATACTGTTAGAAGGTAAAACGGAAAACAAACTTACCGGCGACTACTTTGTATAATTGGCGAAAGGATTATCTCTAAACTGGAGGAAATGTTTTGATTTTGTTGTAAATTCGAGTGCGTATTGGAAAGGCTGCGAATTGGATTCGAGTGCGGATTTGAGTTCGAATTGTTGGCAGCCGCTGATGTCGATACTGTCGATATTGCTGCTGCTAATGGTTGTGGCGGTTGTGTTGTTGTTGTTGGTGGTGGTGGTAGTGGTGGTGGTGGTGTTGATGATGTTGGTGGTGCGGGTGCAATATTGGAGGGGGCAGCAACTAGTACTAGTAGGGTATCGTTAGGCGCATTCGCATTCGCATTAACATTGGAGTTTTCATTCGGATTGGTATTTGCATTCAATGTGGGACAATTCAGCAGTTGTTCGTTTGCGGTAAATGTTGCTAGCTGGTGTTGTTGTTGCTGCTGTTGTTGCGGCTGCTGTTGACCGTTGTAGACATTCGCATTGCAATTATCGAGATTAATATTGGCTAAAGCGGAAATGGATGTGGTAGCATTTGCATTTGCATTCGAGTTCGAGTGCATTTTCAGAGCATTGCGCGACTGATTGTTGCTGCTGCTGCTGTTGCTGTTGTTGTTGCTGCTGCTGCTGGTGCCTATGTTGCTGATGATGCTGCTGATGTTGTTGTTGTTGTTGCCACTCTGATTGCCATTGTGGCCGCCTGCACTGCCCGTGGGCGACATCAAAGGCGCGTCGGCGTCAAACATGTCCTCGGCTTCTGCGGCCTCGTCATCATAAATGTCGTCGGTGTCTTCGGTTTCGTCATTAGTTGTATTTGCCTCATGTTGCAAGGCCTCCAGTGCGGCCATCGCCTCATCCTCGCTGCCTGACTGCGACGAATGCGTCGTCTGTGTAGTCGTCGGTTTATTTGGTTCATTGGTTGATTGGTTGGGGTTTTCGGTTGTTTGGTTGTTTGGTTGGTTGGTTGGTTGGTTTGAAAATACATACAAACAAGGTTTAGCTTTTTTGGGGGGGGCGGGGCTTGCTTGCACTTTCTTGCTACGACTTGCACAGGCAGGCAGACAGGCAGGCAGGCGGCAGGCACAAACACTTAACCAAACTAGGGTAGACTAGACTAGGACTTAACACTCATTAGGCACAATGGCACATGCAAGTTACTTACAACTACGCTTAAACACACAATATTGTTTTAGCCATAAAATATATTGTAATTACATTATCAACACAAACAATTTACTAACAACACACAAAAACATGCGACCACAGACTCTGCATACTTTGGCTTAATACCTATTTACCCATAGTTCACAGTTTCTCGTTTTTACCATTTTGCAATAACATTTCAATTGCAAAACACAACAATGGTTTATTTGTTTTCGCAAATTACGCTGCACGCACAAAAACAAAAGTTGCATGCGTTTTCCAATTAATCTAAAAATCAGCCACGACAATCAAAACAACGCGACACGCGCAAATAAATAAATCATTAGCCGGGAGGGGCCTCAAATTTTAATTACAATGAAATGCAATAACAGCCGCAATGGCGTACGCCTTTGTGCTGGTCAAAGGGAGGTGGCGGTGGGGGCGGTGTGGGGCGATGCGATGCGGTCCTGCAGGGCGTAATGGCTACAAAAGCTCGCTTGATTGCGCGCACAAAGGCCAAGGGCCAAACGGCTGGCAGGTTCCTGCCTCTGCCCCTGCCCCCGTCCCGGCCACCACACTCAGGTAGGGGCCTGAGAAATGGACCGAATGTTTGCCTCTCGGTTTATCGTGTTGATTGCATATGCAAAATGGCCGGAAGCGGAAGTTGCTGCTGCTGCTGCTCCTGCCGTTCAGAAACCAACCGGCAGGCATGCACTTTGAGTTTTGCGTAGCTGGATCTTTTTTGAAGCTCTAAGTCAACAGACATCGCCTGTCAGTGTGCTTATGAGTCTACAAGTGTGCGTGTGTGCGTGTGTGTGTGTGTGTGTGAGTCTCTCAATACACTTAAGAATTCATTCAATTTGGCGCAAGTCACGTTTGCAGCACGTTGCCTGCCATTATGATTGAGTTCTTAAGCAAAAATCACAAACAACACACAAGCGTTTCTAGCTTTGGCTTAAACAAGCAGCCCCAAAACAACAACAAACACCGACAGGTAAAGGCATATTGCAGGATAGTTATGTTCATTTGTAAATGAAATCAAAACGGCCTACAAGAAAGGCCCACAAACATCTCAAAATAACGGCAAGATTTTCCTACACACACACACACACTGTGGCAGTGTGATATTTTCACTATAAAGCGAGTAAAAAAAGCAAGCTCTAAGAGTAATTGACTTCAACAGTGCTCTTGAAAATTCCCCACAGTTCACTTTTATTTTTTTACTTTGAAACAACATGTGCTCGAAACGTGAACAAAATTTTGCAGCTCGAATTAAAAGGCGCTTTCAAACTGCCTTTTAAAATTATTTGTAAATTAGTTATTATTTTATTTGAATATCTTTAAGATAAATTCTCTAATTAATGGACAGTCTATTTCATCCCAACTCATTCACATGATATAAGAATTTGAAGGCTAGTAAGAATTTAAATTTCAATCTGAATCCAAGTCTTTTTCTCCAATATTGACTAGAAAATCGCCAGGATTGCTTGAATCTCACACCAGACTGGCACATTTCTAGGTAAAGTAGATGTGAGCGTACATTAGTTCAATGTATAAATGAATTATTATTTTATTTGAATATCTTTAAGATAAATTATCTAATTAATGGGCAGTATATTTCATCCTAACATACTCACTTGATATAAGCATTTGAAGACTAGTAAAAATTTAAATTTCAATCTGAAACCAAGTCTTTTTCTTTTATATAAACATTGTAAGTTGAAGAATAGTTGAGTGACTCTGACTAAAGAGACTTCATCAGTTCCGATCTTAATTCATTTCCTATGACACTGAACAAACTAGAATCATTTGCTTCTAATAAACCACTGTGCACCCTTCAAAATTGACCAGAAAATCGCCAGGATTGCTTGAATCTCACACCAGACTGGCACATTTCTATGTATCTACTCTACATAGACATTAGTTCAATGCGTGTGTGTGTGTGTTTGCCATCACTTAGGAATAAAGCCTGAACACTTATTGGCATATATAGCTTATGCTACATTTGCGCTCTAAGCTGAACTGAAACTTTGATACTGGCCGCATATTTTTGGCGCTTGTTTGGTTTTCTATTAATTAAAATTGCATTCAAGTTGAAAATCGTATTTGTTGCTCTATAAAGAGCTTATCTGGCAGCTTGTTTGTCTGGGTGTTCAGTCTGGTCCGCTTCCACTCTCGTAATGAACTTTGAATTGTGGCCTAATGGAAACACGTACGAGAACTTAAATAAACACACAACATTCTCAATATTCTCAACATTCTGAGCGTTCTGTGTGACTCAAAGAGGAAGATAGTCAAAGGACTATCGACTACTTGCCTTGGCTGCTTGTTTGATTTGTTGTTGGCTTGCTTGTTTGTTGTGTTGTTTGTTTGTTTGTTTATTTGTTTGTTCCTGCAGAATGGAATTTAATTAATTTTGTTTCAGTTTTTTCTTGTTTTGGGTAACGACAGCGCTTACTTTTAAGGGCGTGTGTCTGTTAATTAGGCACAAAGTCCTTGGGTAAACACACCCTCAACCCTCAATTCATAGATCAAATCGTCTGGCAAATTGCAGTCGCATGCACATACGTTTCATATATACAAGTAGGTACTGATTCATATGCGTATATATGTACTATATGTGTAGTATAACAAGATATACGCCCATATCATTAGGCAGAGAGCACTCGCCCACTCACTCCTTCAATGTCAGACCATCTGCATGACTGTCTGTCTGTCTGTCTGTCTGTCCGTTTGTCCCTCTGACTGTCACTAACAGGCGTGTCAACATAATTATTACCTATGTCTGCACATTTTATTTTATTTTGTTTTTTTTTTAAGAAAACATGCGGGTCCCCACTATACTCGCTACATATTTTTTTCCAAAGACTGCACACAAAAGCATTCCAAATGGAGTCTATGGAGCAGTTTGTCATGCACATGCATAAAATATTGTATTTTTGTCGAAAATAAAAAGGTATAAATGCAAAAATGACATATGCTGGACGCCGGCAGGGACAAAGCACCGTAGCTGGAGCTCTAAACGATTAGAGTTGCGAAGCAAACCAATCGGAAGAAGTGTGGCCTTCGGCTTGGCCGAATCACTGATCCGCTAGCTGTAATATATACATCATAATAATAATAATCATAATCATAGTAATAATTAACAATTTAGTTACAGAAATTTACCCAAGACTGAATATATTAAAGAGTACCCCGCTTTCGTTTTAATTAGTTAGTTATTCAGTTCCGATTTCAGCTTGTTTTAAAATCCGCCGATTAACAACTTGCAACTAAAAGAGCTCCAGTTCAAAAATCATTTTAAAATATAATATATATATAATATAATATAGTATAATATAATGTTAGAAACAACCGAAGAGGTTATAAATACTTTTTATATAGACTATTTTTTTCTTATTGGCGCAGAAATGCAGAAAAGGAAGCTAGTTGGAATCGCAGTTAGGAACTCTACAAGTTTCAATTCGAATAACTGAAGTTTCAAAATAACTTTAAAATATATAATTGAAACCTAAATGCTTTGTAACAGGAATCATTTTAGAAGCCACCCAACCAGTGAAAGATATTCTTCAAATCGCTTAATCTTCCTTATTGGATAATGATTGAGGAACGTTTTCGAAACCGTGACAGGAAAGCTTGTTCGAATGGTTGGTATTTATAATTGGCAGGACACTAGGCAGTTCGTCTATTAAAAATTGAATTTGAATTCACTTTGTCGGGCCAAATGGATTTCTGCTGGCTCTAGTCTCCTATCGCGTATTCTATGTATTTACACAGAAGAGAAATCCGACAATAGAATGAGTTGCCATTTATAAAACATGTTAAATAAAGTTGGAGTTGGCTGTCCATTGTCTGGCTTTGCATAATTAAAAGACCATGGAAATGGGAAAAAATATGAATTGTTAAATAAACTTTTTTGCTGCCCTTTTCCGCACTATTTGAAGCGCAAATGTTTTATGCCAACAAATCAATTGGCAATGGCATATGAAAACATACATAGAATGGTTTTCATTGTTTCTCCCATGCAGAGATTTAATAAAAAGTGTATTAAGAACAAATCAACGCTGTTGTTGCCTATGCTTTGTTTAAATATCGGCTAATGCTTTAAAATCTCAGGCTGGCTTTAAGGCAGGAGCCCCAAATGGCTGCTGAAGCGTTTGAAGCTTCAATTGTTGCCTGAGCCCGGGATGATGTTCCTTTTATTGTTTGCCAATTGTGTTAATCCAATATTTGTCAGTGTGTGTGTGTGTGTGCGTGTGTGTGTGTGTGTGGCAACCAGAAACAAGACACAGCTACATTGGACAATAACAATAACAACCAGGACAGCAATCGAAACTTTTGGCACATTAAATCAGCAAATTTATTGACTAAACTGCTCAGTGAGCCAAACGGCGACCGCGCCCCCAACCGCCCCTACTTAACTGTCAGTGTTTGTCTTTTGCCGTTGGCGCGCACTTTGCCACTTGGCCGGCCATCTCCAAGGATGCGTGTGTGCGTATGGCTGTGTCCTGATACTCGTATCTGGGTGGGTGTGCGTGTGAGTTCCTTGTGTGTCCCTTGCTGTGCTGTCATAATTTTTGATTTGCTTGTTTTATTTGATGTCCTCGACTGCTCGTGTTCTGTCCCGCAACGTTGGCGCAGTTAGCTGAGTTGCCAGGCGCCCCGCCCAACGCCGCCCAAGGTCTCGCCCCTCGTCCCCACAGTCCTTTCGTTCTAAGCTCGAGCTTAGGAAAAACAATTTTGCAAAATTTATTTTATAGCAAAATTATGCCAAACATTTTGGGAATGTTTCTGCTGCTATTCTAGCCGATGTTGTTGCTGTTCTTGCTTGTTTTTGGTCCACACACACACACACACGCACACACACACACACACACACACACACACAGATCTATGCAATATGTGTATGACTTGGTCTAATATTGTGACCCAGTCGCCTGTGTAGCTAAATTTATTTTAGAATTGTAAGTATTTTTCTTTGGGAAATGCTGAGCATGGCTGCGAAATTCTCTGCTTTATGCGTGCCTGCTTATATACGGATATATATACATATATATAAGTGTGTGTGTGTGTGTGTGTGTGTGTGGAAAACTTCTGTTGAAATTATTTGCTTGGCATTTCAGCGCACTCCTCTCCCTCGGGGCACTGCTAGAAACTTGTATAATGTAGCGCAAATAGTTGCTTATTATTTATGCTGTTTTATTGCCCTGCTTTGCTTCCTTCTCTCTGTTGGCATTGGCATTATGCCCTTTTGTTTGGCAATTTATTTGCCTGCTAAGCAAAAATTAGTTGGCGCATTTCGGCTGTTAATTAGGCATGCGTGAAATTGAGCAGCTCAAGATACTTTCATAAACTAACTCCAATGGCATCATAAAGTAACAGATACTGGATACAAATAATTTGATTTTGCTGCTCCCCATGCCTTTCCTGTTCTTCATTCCTATACTGTTTGATTCTTATCTTTTTAATTTCTCCCCCCATTTGATGTTAATCCATTGATTCCTAATTAATATTATTTTCAATATTCCTAATATTAATAATAGGTGCATAATTCGGATGCTATTTAATTTCTCCCCCCATTTGATGTTAATCCATTGATTCCTAATTAATATTATTTTCAATATTCCTAATGTTAATAATAGGTGCTATTTAATTTCCCCCCCCCCCCCCCCCCCCATTTGATGTTAATCCATTGATTCCTAATTAATATTATTTTCAATATTCCTAATATTAATAATAGGTGCATAGTTCAGTTGCTATTTAAGGAATTTATTGCAGCCTTGATTTCGGCAAGGGATTTTTAAAATAATTCATTGCTGATTGATATCAATCTAGGATCTTTTTTAGGGATTCACTTGGTCTGAAAAGATTTTAAGTTTCTTCTTTCTGCCTTTCTCAGATGGCTACGAATCGTATGTAGAATTTCTATCACTTGGTTTCCAAATCAATTTCTTTCAACTATGTTGTTGAGTGACTGTTTGCTACTCTTAATATTTTATTTAGCTTTTTTAAAACGTGCTTAAAGTTCCTCAACTGTAACAGAGTATCTTTCTATTGTTGATAATGTGCATATGATTTGTTATCTGTTGTTGAAGAATTCGACATGATTTGGGAATACAGAGGAGGAGTTGAACCAGCTGGGAGTTGAGAAGTTAAAGGTCATGTGTCAGCTACCCTCTTATGGTTTTGCGGGAAATATTTATATGGAAACATATAAAGCCAGTGAGCAGAAAAGTTAAGTTAATTAAATTCCAGTCTATGCGCCATGCAATCAAAAGCACAGCAAGCGAATTTGTATATGCCAATGAACAGACAGACAGACAGACGGACGGATATCCGGACAGACAGACAGGCAGACAGACAGACTGACAAGCAGTGTGGCGGTTCTTTTGAAGCCACACACACACATACACACACTTACAAAGAGCAGCACAAGTGTGTGTGTGTGTGTGTTGGCGTACAATGAGTCTTACAAAATAATCAACATAAAAGCTTCTTTTACTTATTTTATAAAATGCACTGAGCACGAAAGTCAAAAGAAGTGCTCTCGTATGTGTGCGGATTATGAAATTACAAAAATAAATAAATACATACATATAGTGTGCTATGGCATATAAAATAAAAACTGGCTGAAATATTTGCAAGAAAATTAAGAGCACGCCATGCATTGAGTGCAACACACAAAGAGGGGATCTTTTTCGACATATATACATACTATATATGTATATACAAGTACATACAGTAGATGGTAATGTAAATGACATGGCTAGGCACTTGGCCAAAAGACTGCGTAGCTGCTGGTAGCTGCTTGCTTTGCTAATAAAATGAAGTGGTTTATGCTGCGGGACTTAGCAGGCAGCCACCCGCAAAGTGCGATAATGCCAATAAAATACGGATTCAATTAAAGTGCCGCGACAACTGTGCAAGGCGACAGTGGGGGAGGCGACAGATTCGCACAGAAGCAGCGAGTTGCAAACCAAAGTAATTGAAAAAATTTAAGTTGGACACGACAAACAAACATAACAGAAGGAACACAACAAAGTTAAGGAACTAGCGATAAACATGCAACACAAAAAACACAAAACATAAAAAGGAGACGCGACGCATAACAAGACGACACACTGAGGTGAGTGGCATTGTGGACGGGGAACATAAAGAGACAAAAACAACATGCGACAGGTTTACGCAACATGCGAGGAGGCGCCGACTAGAGAGGAGCGATGTCTTTGTGGCCATTCCCATTTTCTTTTTTTTACTATTTACTTGTATTTTAAAATCCAACCATGATTGTTGCTGTCATTTGTAACTGTTAATGTGATGTCTAGAAATTAAGGAGGAAATTGCGATTCAACTAAAAAAGCTCCTAAACTTCCTCTTGACTTGCTCTTCAAATGACAAAAGTTTAAGAACACAAGTAGAAATTAAAATACTTGAGCACACTTTAAAGCGCTTCCTAATAAACTTTTCATCTTACAAGTACTATATATTACTGATATTCATCTCAGTCGAACTCGAGGGTTTGAGGCCACAATCGCAGGTTCGCTCATCCCTAGCCCATGGGCTGCAATAGTCGCCTCCTTGGGCCACACGTAAATCGTACTCACAGTTTGTTGCGTTGAGGTGACATTCGATGGCGCGACATTCTGGCCATGCTGTAGATAGACTAATGGGCCACCAGCCACTGAGGACTGAGGTTGTTGTGATTGGTGCTGATGCTGATGCTGATGCTGCTGCTGTTGCTGCTGGGATTTCGGTTGCTGCACAATTGGCGGTGAGCCTTTGCTACCGCCGTTGTCGAACTGATAGTACATGACATCGGTCGCAGGCGCCGTGCCGCCGTAAAGTGGCGGTGGATCGGCAGTCTGAGCGCCTGAAATGTGATACGCAGTAGGCTGTTGCTTCGGTGAGCCACTGCTGCTCGCCCCACCGCTGGCGCCGCCGCCGCCGCCGCCACCGCCACCGGCTCCGAGTCCAGCGCCCGCGCGCACAAATTCCGGCATCTGCGGCATCTTGTAGTTGTAGATGTAGGGACGCTCGTACTCGCCGCCATGGATGTAGGACAAAAAGAGATCCGACTTAGCTGGCTGCAGGCCATAGCCACCGCCGTGAATTGAGCGCTGGCCCAGCGCCCGACTGCTGCCCATATAGCCACTGGCAGAGCTGCCTGGTGCATAGGGAGCCGGATTCATGGGATAACAGCTGGCATTAGCCAATTGGCCGCCACTAAGCAGCTGCGTCTTGGTCAGGCTCTGGCCGGACAGACGACGCGTGGGGACGCCAATGTCTGACTTGGCATCACGTCTTTTGACATGCTGCGAGGAGCTGGGCGGACCCTGATAGTAGTAGGGGGTGGCCGGATTACTCGGCCACTCGACGAAGCTGCGCTTCCCAGCAGCTCCGCCACCGCCAGAACCAACACCAAAGAATGAGTTAGCATTAGTATTACCAGCACCAATGTTACCTGCACCGTTCGAGAGATTGCTGTTGCTGCTGGCAGCCGCAGAGCAGGTCGCCGACGCCGCCGACCCCGCTGTCGTTTTCCCCAATGCATTGTTCAGACTGAACTTATACTGATTATTCTCGAAGGTCGTGTAATTCAGAAGGCGATTGGCGGCGCTGGCGCCTCCGCTGCTGCCAGCGTTCGTGTTAGTAGCGGCGGAGTGGGAGGATGTGTGTCCAACTGAGCTGTGTACGGGCGCCAGGCTGCCGCTTTGGCTCTGGTTGGTGGACGAGGCGTATTTATAATTGGGTTTTTGATGTTGGTGCGCTTGTTGCTGTTGTTGTTGTTGTTGGCGTTGTGCAAATAGGGAGTTTTGGCGTTGCTGTTGCCTTTGTTGTTGTTGCTGATTACTCACAGTCTGCTGCATGAGGCTATTGTAGCCACCGCCACCTCCTGCTCCACTGCCAGTGCCGGCGGACTTCCGATGACTGCCACTGGAGGCGCCGGATGATTTGTTCGTTCCATAGCGTGTGCTGTCGCTAGATCTGTGAGATATAGAGAAAGAGATGGAAAATGGCCTTGGCCTGTGACAAAAATCCAAACTAGGCGGCATCTTACGCACCTCTCGGAGCTGTAGGCATAATCCTGGTCAGCACCCAGACCGGAGTCGGTGTGCTCGTGGGAAACTCGCAGTGCTGAGTTCTCCAATGGACTAAGGTTGGAGCCGGTGGGTGAGATGAAGTCACCCATACTCATGCTCGACATCATGCTACAAAACGAGTGAGAGAGTGTTTTATATAGTTAGAGTGAAGATAAATAATAATCTTGAATGCTTGTTCATATAAAGATCTTTCAAATCATCGTTCTTATGGTTTAGTGATCTGATTCGGTCTGTTCCCATAAATGATGCAGAAAAAAGAAGGAAAAAATTGTGATTGGAACAGATTCATCTAACCAAAAAGATTTCAGATTTGCCCCACCCTCTTCCCTTTAACACTAAGCTTCTAGGCCACTTACCGCACTAGTCCATTGTTGCGTTCGCACTCGCGCGAGGAAATGGTGCTAGCTGATCGTATCGAGCCATTCTTGGCTCCTCCACCGCCGCCACCATTGCCGTCATGTGGGTTCGAGCTTTGATAGTAAAGACTGCATAAGACAGCGGATTATGCGAAGCTAAGGAGAGATTTTTGGTCATCAACTTACCCTCGTATGCGATCTACGCGATTTTTGCCCTGTCCCGTACTGGCCGAACCACTACCATTAGTAATGGTGTTGCCCGACCCCGTGCTCTTAGCACCCACGCTACTCTTACTGTTGCTCTTGTGTATCTTGAGATTGGAATTCGAGCGCTTCGAATTAGTCTCCACCACTGTGTAGGGTATTTCGCGCAACTGATCCTCCGTCATGCCTGTAGTATCGACCAGATCGAATTGTAAATGCTTGGCCAGCTCGTAGTTCCACATGCGACTGCGCGACTCGGACGGTGACCTACGGATTACTCCCAAGCTATAACCAAAGCTCTGGACGACTACTGTTACGAGACTTACTTGTTCTTACGATGTCGGCGCGACTTGTGATGCGAATGTGTGTCCGAGTGGCTATCGTTGCTGTGAAGGCTGCGCGCTACCATGCTGCTCTTAGACACAGATGCTTGCTGCACCGAGCTCTGGCCCAGACTAGCCTCAGCCTGTCGACGCTGCACTTCGCGCCACTGCGAAGTGGAATCAATAAGCTCAGCGCTTCCGCTGCGCATGGACGAACTGCGATGTCCCGAATAGCTTCGACCGCGCGTGCTGTCGTGGTCCGAGCCACCACCGCCGGCTGAGTCGCGGCGATGCCGATGCGAGCGGCGATGCTTGCGGTGATGTGAGCGTCCGGAGCGACCAGAGCCCCGCGAGAGTTCGCTCTCATTGTCCGAGGTGCGACGATGACGATGCTTGTGTCTGCTAAACAGTGTTATGGGGTTACAAAAAAAGGGAGAAGGGTGTCGTTTGTAATCACAAGAATCGATCTTGGTTCGAAACCGATGTCGAGTTTGCTGTGTGGCGGACTTACCTTCGCGTCGAACGCGAGTCATTTGATGAATGGCTTTCAACGGAACTTGAACGATAGCGTTGTTGATGCGAGGCGGATGTGGAGGAGGCGCGCTGCTGTCTCTGTTGCGACTGATGGTGCGACGACGACGATGACTGCTGTTGCTGATGGCCATGATGATGATGATGATGATGATGCAGGCCGCCACCCGTGGTGCTGGCCGAACGCACCGAGCGCGGACTCGACGGATTGTGACCGAAGAGGGAGCGCTGCTGTGATCGCGGCCAAGGAGCGCTGCGCGTGCTGCGTGGCGAGTCAGGTGTCTGTAAATTGCTGCCATTGTTGTTGTAGCTGCTGGAGTTGTTATTCTGCTGCTGCGTCGTTGATGACGACGATTGCTGATGGTAGGGCCGCACGCCCAGACTGGTTGGTATGCTGTAAGTGGAGCGATAGGGGCTTTCGTAGTTGCTGCAATGGGAAGGGAAACAGAACAGAACAGAACAGTCCGTCAGCAATTGCAACGCTCTCGCATTATTTTGCCATAAATTTAAATTGCTTAACATAAACGTTGATTAAAGTCTGTGGCACTGGAAGCGATCCCAGCAGCGATCGCTGCCATTTAGGCTGTCGCAGTGTGCCACAAAGTTTGCGATCGCTTCCAGTGCGATCGCTCAAGGCCCGACGCCCCGACACCAACTGATCGACACAGACAAATAATGCGCGTGTGTAAAATTGAGTAATTGCCGCGTCGGCAATCAGCGGGCAATCATTTGGCTCTCAGGAGTCACTGACGTGCCAGGCGCGCCTTGTGATTTATGCTGCTGCCCGTTGTTTGTTGTGTTGTTGTTCCACTCGTACTCTTTTGTGGTGTAGTGCGGGCAACTTGATTGGCCTGTCCGGCTGCCACTACTGAGCCGGCTCGCACCATTGGCCCACAGTTCAGCTGATGCGCCTCGTATTGCTTTGGTTTCTTTGTTTGCAAATGATAAATGACGGCTGCTCTTCGCTATGTTCCTAAGCCTCGGAGGTGGACTGATTGGTCTGTTACACTGGCTTCTATTACCCCTTGAGTCGTGTAATTCATGCACAGCAGATTCTGAGCAGACGTCCGACGTGTCTTTGATGGATGCAGCAAGGCAGTGCCACTGTTGAGATTGATAGCAACTAGACTCTTGATGTTCCCAGGATTACAGTGAACATGAATAATGTTCAAGTGTGATCAACGCGATCAAAGGGAAGCAATACGAGTATAAACCTTTTTCGAAGAGCAATTGGATAGATTTTCGTATTAAGCTCAACTGAACATATATTAATTGTTGGCATTCTTTTCAATCAAGTTTTAATATACATTGAAAAAGTTCAACAAAAAAAATGCATTCTGTTAGGTCATGTAATCTCAATAAGCATTTAACTATGAACCAGTTCATTTATTTTCCAATTGCAATGCAAATATGTACATTACATTAAAATTCATATACATACATACTATATGTTATTGCTTATAGCTTTTGAATTAAAAGCTTACGGTTTGGACGTTCTATATGTCGTTGAGCGCAAAATTAAAAATGTGCACAAATCGTTTTTCAATTCCCAATTAAATACTTTTCGATTGACATACATACATAACAACCGTTAAGATCGGTGCAGCCAATCGTATGGCAGCACTGTTTTCTTAAGGTATGGGCAGCACTTCGGTAGGCGTCGATCAAAGCGTTAGTTGTTCGCAGTTAAGTTCTGCAATTCGCGATAATTGCATAGAAACAATGTGCGTGTCAATTGTTTAGAATACGAAGATAATGTGCAAAATTACTTTCAAGTTGTTGTACATGACCAATTGGTAGTGATTTGAGGCCCTAACGTACGCAAACACATACATATGTGCATACATACATACATTTGTGCGTGGCGCGGGAAAAAAACAAGAAGTGGCTGTGCGTTATTTTGTACGTTTTTAACGAATATCTCACATAATGCAGATTATACAAACAATGATGAATGTATTTTCAAGTGCAATGCACTGGTGCTTATAAGTATTTCTGTATATAATCGTACATAAAAACTTACATATGTATGTACATACATGTACACACAACCACATGTGTCCAAAGGAGCACCTCGCGCTCCAAAAAAAAAGGTGGTTGCTATAACCGGCAGTCGTTTGTTACAAGCAACACAATGTTGCAAAAATAAGTAATATACATATGTGAATACCGCGCAAAGAGCAATGATTTTCTTGGCAGTGATAATTACAATAATAATGAATCTAATAAGGAATCTATTTTCAAATGCAATGCACTGGTGGTTATGCGAATTTCATTAATTACTCATATATACGAACTTATATACATACATATCCAAAGGAGCATCTCGCGCTCTATAAAAAAGCTGGCTGCTATAACGGGCAGTCGTTTGTGACAAGCAACACAATTTTGCAAAAATAATGTATGTAAATACCGCACAAAGAGCAATGATTTTCTTGGCAGTGATAATTACAATAATAAGGAATCTATTTTCAAGTGCAATGCATTGGTTGCTTTAAGTATTTATATATATACTCGTACACACGAACTTAGATACAAAAGAGCACCACGCGCCTCGCGAAAAAAGCTGGCTGCTATAACGGACAGTCGTTTGTGACAAGCAACACAATTGTGCAAAAAAATATAAATACCGCGCCTAAAACCATTATTTTCTTGGCAGTGATTAGCAAAATAATTGCATAATAATGAATCTATTTTCAAGTGCAATGCACTGGTGGTGTTACTTATTTCTATACTCGTGCACACGAACTTACATACATGGATGTCCAAAGGAGCATCTCGCGCTCAATGAAAACAACTGGCTGCTACAACGGGCAGTCGTTTGTGACACTCTTGTGCAAAAATAATATAAATAACGCGCATAGAGCAATGATTTTCTTGGCAGTGATTAATTAAAAGACTAAAATCCTAGATCCATATTGCTGAATGAGTTAAATCAAGACTCATTGGCTAAGAGCGAATAACCGATAACAAATATGCCTTTGGGTTGGAAAGCACATACATAAATTGTAATAAGCTAAGGGTAAGCGTGTTTTATTTTTAATTGTTTATACTACATATTATATTCGAAATCCTCTAATCTATTCAATTTATTGAATTAAAACTTGAACCGATTTTATTTCACAAATTACGGCTCTTATACAAGTATACAAGTGGTTACCTATTCCTTTCTTTGTTAACTGCTAGATTGTGTAAGCAATACTGTGTGTTTTTTATACCCCATGAAGGAATTTCTTTTTATCGTATCGTTTGAATACATTTATAGATACTGAGCTAGTACACAGATGTTTTTGAATTCAGTTGTTTGAAAAATATCTAACAATAATAGCTTAACTACATCAGCATCTCATAATTTAATGTGACCTCTCACCTTCTGGAAAGATCTTTCCTTTGAGCTGCAAGTGTAAAAACGCTTGACTATAAGGTTCCAACTACTCTCCCAGAGTACGAGAATAGTAAAAAGTTAGTATACATATTATTCCCACACACTTAGCGAAGAAATTAACCTATTTATCATTCATTTAAGTAAAATGTATTAAAACAAAATAGTATATAATTCATTGAGAGACAATAAATAACCTGCTTGCATTATTGCCTCCATCGCAACGATTGTTTTACCCCAATAGATTTCCCCACCATAAATCTTTCATTCGTATGACTCAGTTGCCCTTCCTAGTTGTCCTTCAACATCCTCTAGCAGGGATCACAATTTCCGTTAGCTTTGTAAGTTGTTAGTGCCCCACAATATAATGGTCGATTTTTATTTGTCTATATAATTTGATGTTCAAAACCATAAAACATTTAATAAATACTGCGTCTAGACAATGTAACTGCCTTCAAATGGCAACTAAATGGATTTTGAACACGAAATCGACACAAAAGTACGGAAAACAAAAACCGAAAACCTCTCACATGCACTTCAACACTCAACAACAATACAATGACAAGGAAGCACGCGTTGCCAGCCTGTCAAACACAACGGAGATACACACACTCGCACACACCCACCTACATCCTGACACTCTTTCCTCTGGCGAGGACAGCATGATGAAGTGCTTTTGTGCAGTGTTTTTATATTGAAGTAAACGATACAATAAAGAGTTTTACTATTAAAAATACGCAGCACAGCAGCCAAAAAATGCCACTGCCTCGCATTCCCAGCCACCCAACCCCACTGCCCTTTTCCGGTGGGCTGCCAGACATTTGGCTTGCAGCGATCCCTCGTTGACTGGCCCTGTCGTTGCAATGCGGCATTCGCTTTTAGACTTCTGCCTAGTCCCGAAAAATAAAGCACCCGAAATGTGTTCAAAATTAAAAACAGATCAAAGGAAACGCAGACCCACATACAAGTACATATGTATATACGAGTACGTATGAGTCTAGTCTCTTGACACACGAGTGCACTGGCGGCGTAACTCTAAAAATTATTACTAGAAAAAAAAAAGAATAAGGAATTGTGTCCCAAAAAGGAGCAATAACTACGTCAAAGGAAGCGGAAACAGCAGCCAACACAAATACGAGTAGGTGGAAAAAATATGAGTGAGTGCTGGTGCTGGCCGCCGACCGGAGTTGGGTAAATCAAAACTTTTGTGCTTGAAATGAAAACAAATGATGGGCATTGGAATACTCACTTGGTGCTGGTCAGAGTGCTGCTGGTGTTGTTGGCATTGGAAACGTTGGCGTTGCCCGGCGCTGTTTGCTGTCTGCTGCTCATAACGCCGATCCCATTGCTGTTGCCATTGCCAATGCCAATGCCGTTGTTGCTGTTGCTGTTAAAAAAGTCATCAATCACGCGTCTGGGCTGGCGCTTGGAGGGCACACGCGTGAACGCAGGCGGCGCACGTCCAGCGGCAAGTGCATCCTTCTCCGTTTGCTTGTCCGTGCGACTGCTGCTCGGGCGGGACAGGCAAGAGCAAGAGCGATGGCGAGGGCGAGGGCATGGGCATGGACGAAGGGGGGCGTTATATAGTATGGTAGACATGCGAGCGAGGATTATCACAAGTTGTTGGCATTGGGGAACATAAAAGTAGGCATAAAGGCGTCCAAATATTAACAAAATAAGCGCAAAAAACGGAACGACAGCAGAAAAACAAAAGATGGCAAGCAAATATGGCTTGTTGGTAATAATGAACAGTGAACCATAAAAAGGTTGTAAAAACTTTCATTTGCTAGAAGCTCAGTGGGGCTGATGGTTCAAATTAAAAACGCAGCCCACGCGAACTTGTATTTTACTGCCTAGCAGTGGTGGTCGCATATCGTCCTATTCCAAATCTTCTAAAACTTGCACGCTTACATGTTTTTGCAAGCACGACACGATTTTCTTTTTGATATTTTCCAAAAATTGTCTTCAGAAACCCAAATATTTTGCATGAAACAATTTTCATTTTATATTATATTGCAAATTCATTTCACTAGAATAAACAATTTCGTGCCATTTCTCGTTTAATTAAAAAGCTTTAAATATAATAAAGGCACTATTGATAGGGTTATGTGTTTCTTTAGTAAAAATTGTTTAAAAAACAAAAAGCTGAAGCAAATGTTTCACAAGGCTTTGCAGCTTCTAATAGTTTTAAATTTAGAAATCTTTTTGCTTTTACAAAACACAACCCATTTGGAATGTTCGTCTGAGATTTATTTTCTTGCGTGTTTTAGCCGTGAAGAATATTTAGCTGGCTCTGATGCCCATCTCTATTGCTTGGAGCTGCTGCCCATAAAATGTGCACCCGCACATTTCCGAGAAAAATGTAGGCAGAAAACTTTGTTTTGGCCAGGAGGGGCAGAGAGGGGAGCAGCCATGGAGCTGTGGGGCTGTGGCACGCTAATAGTTTCGGTCAGTTATGGTTAGCCACGTGAACTCGATTTAGTTAAGTTGGCAGCTAGACAAGCTGGCAGGCTGCAGAAATGACGACGGCCCGCAAGAAAGTTTGCGCAGTAAATGGTCAGCCGCAGTTCACATGACGCCGCAAATGGCTGTCATAAACGAGGGCCAGCACCCAGGCTAGGGGCTAGAGCGGCCGCTTCAGCTCTAGCTCCAGCTCCAATTCCGACTACAGCTCTAGCTGGTGCCTAAAGGGGGGCCACATTCGTCATGCACAATTGCCTTGCATTTGGGGCTTAGGCGCATTTCACAAAAAGTCATTAGTGGCTGTGGCTTGCACTTGAGTTCGAAGCTCAGTCCGTGTGCTGCTTGTCCGTTTCGCATTCATGCGGACATTTTTATTGGACTTGCAATTAGTTGGGCAGCGCATAAACTTGATCTATGCAGACGGGACTTGCCGCTGCCTTCTCCTACTTCTCCTGCTCCGCCTTGGCAGTGGCTCTGCCTGTGGATGGGGATGTGGCTGCCACTGCACGTGTTGCGTTTAATGAGCTAATCAAATCGGGCCACATGAGCTGCGCTTGAAAAGGATTTCGAGTGCTGCTTGCCATTGAGTTTTGTTACGTTTTAATTGGCTGGACTTTGGGCGCAACGAATTGGCTGGCCAGACAGAAGAGGAAGAAGCAGAAGCGGCTAATAAATTCTACTCGCAAGTGTCTGACCCGTGTCTTTGGGTCTTCATGGTCAGGCAGTAGTAGCATCGATGTGGAGTTGGTTTATGGCTCTGGCTTTAATGTCTTAATATATGTAAGCAGTACCGACCTAAGCTCTTACAATGGACTGTCTGTCCACTTCGGTAGACAGACACACTCACAGGCACACACTCAGTCACACACCCACTCGGACTCAGGCTTCAGTGGACTTCCGACAGTTGTACTCACCTGTATCTGAAACGAGTGCCCAGCTGAAACAAATCACCTGCATGCGATTGCGAATTGGGCAGCGGTGCGACTCGCACCTGTCTGAAGAACGCATGATGCTCCACGCAGCAGCGCCAGAGATGCTTGCAGGCGGACTTGCGTGGCGTCTCGAAGCCATAAGTGCTGAGCTCATTCTGCAAAGGGCATGGAAATGGTTAAGTGTGTGATAAGCGCAAAAGTCAAGTCACGACGACGTCGACGACGACGAGGACAACAACAAAAGGAGCAGTTGCCAGTCAGCCATGCAGTCAGCCATCCATTCAGCGATGCCTTCAGAAACTTGAGGCAAATTGAGTGTGTTGGCTGCCACATGAATGCAAGCCAAAGTCGATGCCCGAATCTTCGCCTTGGCGTTCCTGTTCAGTTGAAAGTTTCTAACGCCCAGGCAAAGTAAAGTGTGAATTCTCGCGCGCTGCTGCTGCTGCCAAAAAAAATGTTGAGCTGAAGTTTTGCTTTTGTGCGACAACTTGCGAAACTTTCTTGATTATCCAAAGCGTTGACGTACAAAAAAGTATACAAGTTGCCAAGCTACTTATTGTCTAACGAGAGCCAGAGTCTCTAGTCAGGCTAGCTGCCACTTGATGTTGCTGACAGGCACGGCAGAACTTGCACAGTTCGTCTTGGTGCTCCAAAAAAAAAAAAAAAGAAATGAAATGGTGACTGTGGCAAAAATTGTGCGACAATGGCAAAAACTTGAGCGGTAGCGCCGAAATGAACTGTAAATTGTAAACGGGCACCCGGGAGAAATATTTATGGCAAGGGTCCTCGTTGTTGTCGCTATTGCTATCGCCATCGCCATAGCCGTCGTCCTCTTTGTCGCTATAAAAATTTACATTTTTATCGCTTATCCTGAGCATAAAATAGCGTCCTTTATAATAAACTTTGGCAATGCGCGGCCAATAGTAATGAGCCACCGTCGCCTTGTTGCGCAGCACAACAATCCCGCTCGGCGTCAGGCCCAGAAAGTACTCCACGCTGTCCTCGCCCTGTGAATGGAACACAAACAAAACAAAAGACAAGAACAGAAGCGGAAACTTGTAAGTAGAGGCGACAAACAACTAAATACAAGTAAGTAGATATGAACACTAATCGGCATAAGTATTTGGACAAAAGTAACTTTTTAAAATTGTTACATGATAACAAACTCTTTCTTAATTACTACCATAGACAAAGATAGGGTTAGTTGAGGTTACTTAATAATGTGTACAGCGAATTGTCGCAACTATTTTCATTTCTTATAACGATAATAACTTTTTGTGGGAATTTTGTTCTACTTGTATATTTTATGTGGTCTATAGCTTAAATCAAACTTAAGAGTTTATTTGCTACTAGTAAATAGTGAGGTAAATGAAAATGCATCGACTTTATTTTAGCAATTAATTTTTGTTAATCTCTACGATTGCATTTTGTTAAATGAAAAATTGCACCTAGTTCTGCGTCTATGGCGAAGGGTGCAGCCGAAAAGAATGTGCTTGACTGATATGGGAAAGGTAAGGGAAGATGTGACTAGGTTTATCGTTATGAAGTTACACTTTACTTAACAGTTGTTCAACATGGCTTAGTTTTTCAATATGCTGGCAGCTTTTAACTAATCCGTCTTAAAATGTATAGAATACTGAAAATGTACAATTTAATCCTTAGTACGGCATTCAAAGGTGAATAATAGCTGCCCAGCCTAGTCACGAACGGGTTCAGAATTATTCTCACATTGTGATTCTAACTTCTTCACTTTTGGCATTTAATTCTTTCTCGATAGGGTAACAAATGTCGCCACCTCGACTGACTGCATATTCTTAATTTAAATACAATTTAAGATTTTTATTGCTTTTGAAATGAATTCTGCAACTGGGTATATTGTTGCCAACAAAAGTCACTACAAACTAGTCTAATTTTGAATACAAAATAGCTTTAGTTTCTTGTCCTGGCTTCTTGTTCTAAAACTATATAAAATGTATTTATTGTTCGTTTTCAACTCGTTGGGGCTGCTTGTGGGAAATTTCTAGTATTCAGTGTATTCGACAGCATCTATTTCATAGAGTGGGGCATAATTTCTTTTGTTTTTTCGTCACTTGACCAAAAGTTTTTGCTGCCAGTGCCAAAAATTTGTTAACAAGCTGCTGGTGGCAAAAGTTTCTGGCCGGCCCGGCCATTAGCAACAGCAGTCAAGAAAATGGCGGAGCGTTTTATGGCCAAATGCTAACCCACTCGCCGTGCATTAAAAACGAGTGTAATTTTAGATGTTAATTAAATTTAACAGCAACAACAAAAAAAGAAAGAAGTAAAATAAGCGAAGCGAAGCAAAAGGGAGCCGCAATTGTACGCGAGTTTCCCGGCGCCCAGCCCCACGATTCCCAATGATTTGTGTCTATAAACATCGAGCCTGGCAGCCGACAGAGCAGGCGACGAAGTCGAAGTTCCGCACATACCACAGGCATGTAGTACGTGTACAAGGGTTCATGCTTCACACGCACACACGCACACGCACACAAATGGAAATACTTCGACACACATGTATACAAACACAGCTGGTGATTTATTGAGGTTTGATATCAAAGTAAAGGGCAATAAAAAATGCAAATGAAGTGCCAACTTACGCAGCACAAGCGCGCTGGCGGCTGAGCGAATGAGATAGACAGAGGGTGTGAGGAAGAGGGGCGCCATAGTTCAATGCACACACACACACGCACACATGCACACACGCAAAAGGCGTGGCACATGTTTTGGGTTAAATATGTGTGTGTGGCAGTAATCATTGCCTCGCTAGCTGAGCTCTGGGGTCGAAATGTAAGCAAATGATTTATAATATTTGCTATGAAATGAAATTAAACTTTTCCTTGACTGCCGATTCTGACCCCTTTTATGTGGGTGGTTGCATGCCGCATACGCGTCTATAGCCGGGGCAACCAACTGTGGCAACATAGCCGTCTGTTGTTGTTGCTGGGGTTGAAACATTATGAACTGATTTCCTAAAAAGTGTAAGTGACATGCATAGCTGAGCGATACCAGCTAGAAATTACATAGAAATTATTGGCCTTGAAATGTGAATCTGCTTTGATTTTGGGGAAACGCAGGCGACATTCCCGTCTTTGGCTCTTGGCCTTCGGGTTCTCTTAAGTCTGGAATAGAGTGGGCTTATGGCATTTTTAAATGACAGTCCCCTCTCCAATGTAATACACCTTTTTAAGAAAAATTCCATTTTTAAATTTTAAAATCAAGCTGGCTTGCGACGGTTTAAACTCTGATCGCTTGAGAATTTAAGAGCCTAACAGTCTTAAATTAAAATCTTTAGATGTAAGGCAGTAAGTACATAACATTAAATAGTAACTTATACTATAAATACCACAGTTTGTGTGTTTATGAAGTTAAATATTTTCCTATCAAGAGTTATAGAGATGCAGTTTAAAATTTTTAAACATTATTATAAAATCCAAAATCAGAAATGGACTAGAAATTGAATCCTAGTATCTAAATAGTATAATATTAGAAGAGATGCTGAAGGGATGGGTGTGTTTCTAAAGTCGACTAGGTTCTTAAATAAAGTGGCGAATGGAGTGAAACGCGAGATATTATTTATGGCTGTCAACACAAAAGATTATTTATGTTTGTGCTCCACTTTTTCAAATAATGGATTTTGTGCTTCGACTCTACATCTAAGCATAATGTATTTTAACGGTCGGGGTGGCTTTCAAATCTATGAACGACTCATTAAAATACTAACACTAAGTATAAATATACAGTATAGTCATAATCGCAAAACAAACAGAGACTATTCGAAAGTTTTATCTTAAGTTGAATTCTTAATTTGCTGCGATTTTTTTGAACTTACCAACACTGGATGCAAATCAACGCCATACATGTCGTGCCATTTGACTTTGTCCAAATAGTTGAGCTCGGCGCTGGCCGGCGACATTCCCTTGAGCTGTTGATGGAGTTCGGCCACGCGCGTTTCCAGCTCGCTGCTCTGATTGGGCAGCAGACGGAACTCAGAGACGTAGCCCTTGGAGTGCCGTCGCTGGTCGTAGTCGCCCAACTCGGCTGCAAAACGGAGTGATAAGAGATTGGAAGCGAGAAAAAAACGGCTGCAGATTCTTACATTGCACCACAAATGCGCCCAACTCGGCGGCCAGCTCGAAGGCCACAGGTAAACGTCCTTGGAGCACATCCTGCTTGACTTGCAGGAAAAGTTGATACCTACAAAATGTGACAATACATTAGCAGAGAGTTAGCGCGACAACAAGGGCAGCAACAACCGTAAACAAGGAGTGCAACAGCGTGGCAAATAAGTTAACAAGTTGGCAAACAAAATTTAAGCATAAAATTAGTTGATCCGGCTTCCAAGTTTGTCCTCAACACACACATTCACACACACACACACACATAGTTTGCATGCAAAACTGTTGACATTGCGCATACGATTTGCCAAGTACATTAGTCAAACAAATAAACAACAAGAACAGCAACAACGTCGCATCATATTTCACAATTATTTACGAACAAACTTGAAGCTTGAAGTTTGTGTTTGCATTTGCCCCTTCGGTCGGTCTGGTCAGGGACGTAAATCAGTGGTGAAGCTGTCCACACTTCGTACTCATAGTGACCCCTTGGCACTACTTACTTAGCTCTTGGGGCTGTTGAACTAGTTCATTTCTGATTACAAGTTATATTCCCTTTTTCTAATCCAGCCTGAGAACTTGATAAAAATTGAAGAACATTTGTGAATTTATCGAATTGTATTCCAATTTCTATGCGGGAGCGAAAGGATCTTCATATGAAGGTACGAAAATAATTCTCTTTGTATAAATCGGAACTGAAGCTTTTCCCGTGCGTGTGGAACTAGTTACAATGGACTGCCTAGCAGTTCCTAACTGAAACTTAAAGGTATTGCTGCATATATCATATGTCAATATTATGAGCCATCACCTCTGCTGTCCCTCAGGCCGTTCGTCATCGCTGGCAGCACACACAAATGTCCGGCAAAGTCAATTGCCGCAGACTTTGTATAGCTAAAATAACAAAATTCCTCAGCCGGAGTGCACTCCAATAACGCATAGACCCTGACCTCATCTCAGCCCCGCCAGCTCCTCGATAGTAGTCCTGCCAGAGTGCAGTTCATTGCATTTATATGCGCCAATATTAGCGCACATGTGATGCAGCCTGGGCGCTGATTTTGATGATGTTTGGCCAGCGACTGGCGATGCTATCCATCCCGACCCATCCTTCCCACATAATCCAATGTTCCCACTGCTGTTCTGGCCATATCGTCACTGTTGGGCATGATTATGGGCGCGGGCGACAAATGCGCGTGTCGATGTTAAAATGCAAATATTTGCTCACACAAAATGCTTTATAAATGCAGCAGACACCATTGCCATGAGAGCCGCGTCGCATCCACATACATATACTATACACATTCACATCCACATCAAAATCGACAGCGTAAGCTATAGCCATAGCCATAGCCATAGCTAACTGCATTATGAGCTATGTTTATACTTCGTAGAGCGCGACATTTGGTGCATGCAGTTTTTCTATCCTACGGGCATTTCAATTTTCGCGCTCTGTTTGGGCTTCATTAAGTGCAGGCAAACACACACACACACACACACACCCACACCTAAATATATACTAAGTATATACTATATATACAAGTAGATTGCAGCTGCAATGTTAGGGTCGGGGGTCATCAGCGCCGTCTCTGGGCCTCATTGAGTTATTTTAATTAATCGCATTCTGCTTGAAATGCACGCATAAATGCATTAATACATTATCCATTAGTTTGCGCTTGTTGTTGCTGCTATTGTTGTTGTTGCATGTCCGTAAAATGTACGCTGGACTAGCTTCATTTGTTGTTTATTGAATTACGTGCAACATTTAACAAATTAAATTGAACGCACATACTTAAAGCCCAGAGTCCCGCTAAGCCACTCACCTGGTAATTTCCTCAAGCAATTTGCACGGATCGGCGGCATAAAACTTGACACCGAAGTACAAGTTGTAGGGATCCGCTTTGGGCTTCAGCTGGCGTGAAATGCGTGAGGCAGGATCCAGCCAGTGCTGTCAATGGGAGAACAAACATGAACATGAATAAGGATAAGAATAAAGTTGAGTTTTAAAGCCATCGTGTTCTGCCTGATGAGCTACGCATTTTATGGCCGTCAGCTGCGGCCTGTCCTGGCACCAGGTGAGGCGAAAGCGCTCAGACTTTGAATTATAAGCGTTTGGCTTGTGTGTAGGTCTGTGCCACAAAAAGGCTTTTCAGCAGGCGCAAGGACATTAGTGCTTGGGGCGGCATAAAAGTGAATTTCAATGAAGGCGACAGAGACACAGCCCAGCCAGCAGTTGACTTCGTCCTGGCCCTGGCTATCCCCAGTCTTAAGGTCTCGGCCAAAGCGAAAACGAAATTGTTTAATTCGTTGCCTTTAAGCATCGACCGACCGACCGCCCAGTCCTTATTCCATCCTGAGTGTGTGCCAACTCTTTTGCCGCTTTGTCTTCATTTTTCCCGCTCAATGCGCCTCAATGAATTTCAATGAAAATGAAAATGAATTTCAAAAACCAATATGTTTGCACGAGCGAGGTCGGTCGAGCAATGCACATTGGTCGGATCTAAAATATATTCGTTCTTAATTCTAACAAAAATACCTACATACCCAAGTTCTATAAGTTTTCACTTTTTATCAAAAGCTGTGTCTACTAATAGGAACAACTAGGAAAATATCGTCCATAGATTTCAGATAATGGAAACTAAACAGTTCCTTGGCTATTCACTTAATTGGAGCTCCAAATAGATAATTGGCAAAGTTAATGTGCCAAAACAACTAGAAAAACATACAAATTATTTTATTTATTTATTTTTCGAGCCGCATCAGGTTACGATAAAATGAAACTGATTGAAATGTTGAAAACGTAATGTATCTGTGCTGGGCTGATTGGCAATTGGTTTGTGCCTTTAAACATATTCCTAACAACAGTAACGCTCGTTTTCTGTGCCAAATAAAATGTTAAGCTCGTTAAATGATAAATTTGCACAACAGTCTATATTTTAATACACCTTCTTATTCGTTTCCAAACTGAGTAGGACCATTAAAACTATATTATTATTAGTCAGTGAAGCTTGTCTACAAAAATCGGAATAAAAATGAAGCTAAGTCGTAGGTAGAGTCATATCATCATATTTGTAAATTGAAAGCTAAACCATTAATCTAAATTTTAAATTTAGAACAATCTAGGAAAATAATATTTTGGCGCTGACTGGCTATCTAGCTGCGGATTAATTTAGCTTCCTTAATCAATGTCCTTGCTAACATCGCTTTTCTACAAACAAGCACAATTTGTGTTGTGCCGAATTTGAATTGCAGCTGCTTTTCGGTTTCAAATATGAACTGTTGACCTTAGCACCCAATTAGCCGCCTCGTTGCGTCTATTAGGCGTGCTAAGAAAAATTTGTCTCTTTCCTAGAAAGAACAATCTTTTTGGAGTATCAGACTCATACTCATATAAATTAGATTGTACTTATCTAGATTGAAGTGGCTGTCTGAAATTTTTATTAAATACGAAGGCATTGCAAGCGAAATTCCATTTTAGTCTAATACCCATCGAAAAAGATTTGTGTTATTGCATGGCAACATTTTCCGAAACCAATACCAATGTGCAATATACGAGTATGTACTCGTGGAGATGGTGCCTGTTCGTCTGTCCGTTCGGCTGTGCACTTACCGTTTGATTCTCCTCGTCTATATAACGTATGCCAAAGTATGAAGTCTCGATTAAATTGAGCCTGGCAAAAACGACATCCAGCAGCGCTTGGCCTGGCAAATCATCCTGAAAATAGACAAGAAAATTGCTCTTAAAACAAAAAGTTACACTGAGAGATACACAGACAAGGATATAGATGGGGAAAGACGAGGGGCGAGTGTGAGGCAAAAGAAATCGCTGGCAAAGGCAAAGGAAAAGGCAATGGCCAGCCATTCAAAGGCAGAGCAAACACTGCCGGCAAACTGTTGCAAACTGCCGCCGACAATTCAACCGTTGAATGGCCTCGGCCTCGTCCCCGGCCTCTGCCTTCACGGCAGCTCGTCCTGATCGTCCTGCTTGGCTGGTGGCTGATGGCTGTTGCCTGTAGACTGCCGACTGCGGACTGTTGGGGGCCCGTTTGGCCGGCCGGCAAAAGTGAAAACTTGCCGCACAACGAAGCGACAATTATTCAATTGGAAAATTGTGCCTTTTCGTGTGTCCCTGTCTGTGTGGATGTGTACTTGTATGTGTATGTGTGTGTGTGTGTGTATTTGGGTGTTTCTGAGCGGCACTTAAAACGTTTTGATAAAATGAAACGCCAAAGCAAATACGAGTAACAAAATGTGCGCTAAATGCCACACCTACACATCCTTGTTTAAGGAGGGCGTGGGGCAGGAATTTATGGCAAATCGAAGTCCCAATCGCCCTCCATAAACGCCGTCCAATCAACAATTTTTGTGTGTAATTTAATTTGTGTTGCGTTTTAAATTTGCCACACTTTAAAATACCCAACAATTTTGTGTATCTGTATATATATGTGTGTGTGTTCTTTTTATTCTGCTGCCAATAATAAATTAAGTTTTTTCCCTCGAGGCCTCGTCTATGGCTGTTGTTTTTGTTGTTGTGGGGTTGCGCAAAGGTCGCCAGTTGAAACCGCAAACACCAAACTATGGCCCGGGGCGCACTATTGTTAAGTTTTTTTCCCGTTTTTTTCGATATACGGGTACATACATATATATGTATGTACTTTTTGACCATTCAGCAGCAAAGGAAAAACCGCAGCAACCCCCTTTGGCTGTGGGGCCGCATCTTCATTGTCTGGGCCGCGCCAGCTGCTATTCATGGGAGGCGCAGCTGGTCAACATGTTTGATTTTTGGCGCGCAGGCTATTATAGGCCAGACAGATGGAAAGATGGACAGCGATGGACTGGCATCCGGATTGTGAGTGGGGTTCTGTTTCAGTCGGACTTGCGATTTTTGTTGCGCTTTTTGCTTACAACGGCGCGCTGACCGCTGCTATGTTTTATTTATGGCATGGTATTCCACTTGCCACAACATCCCTTGGTGCCCTACACACACACACACTTATACACATCCCTATACATACATATACGAGAGTGTATGTAAGTATATGCGTCCCTTTGTATTGGCTTGTTTTATTGTTGTTGCGTAATAAACTTAATGGCCGACAAGTGTGAACAAAACTTGCATGTTCATGTATGTGTCTGCGTGTGTGTAGTCAGTAGTCAGTCAGCCTTGTGTTAAACTTTCTGCTGACCAACAAAGGATGAAAGCGAAACGACAGAGAAACAGACAGACGGAAAGACAGACAAATGAATGAACTAGCGAGCTGACAATGGACCGAGAGTAAGTTACGCTTGGGGACTCGAAGCCCTGGAAAATGTGATAATCTTTATATGACAGCCCGAGCACTTGCACGTGCATATTCAAAAGGTCGAGCCAATCCAGCTGACTCGGGAAAACACCGGCATTTTTGCATACTCGCATCCCTTGGGAGCAATAGATCCTTGCGCGCTCGACTCTCATAAGCCGTCAACGCCCCACCAACTAATTACAAAATAACATTCAGATGACATTAAAGTTGGCTGCTGTTGTTGCTGATGTCGCATGACACACTGACAACCGCATCGGAAATGTGTTGCAGTCATGTAGAAATTGCATTACAAATGACAGCAGCGTGCAAGGACATCACATAAAGCAATTAAACAATGGCTCGTAAAATTTTCAAAACGTGCTTTTGCCGTCATTCGTCTGTTCTCCTTAGTTGTTGCTGTTGTTGGTTGGTTCGTTGGCTGCTGGCTGCTGTCAATGCTTTTAACATTAATAGGTTTATGTAGAAAAGTGCATTTTAAAAATGCATGAAACTGCTGGCTGACTGCATATTTGATGTCCCAACGAATAGAAGACATCAACACACACACACATACTTAGCTCGAGTTGTAAATGGATCGCTAGCTGAGTGCATAGTTTGTAATAATTCAAAGCGACTACATTATGATATCATTCTCATACTAAGTGAGTGCGGTCACAGCTCTATCGTAGTTAAAGCAGCCAAGGGAATAATACTTGTAGTTCATTAAGAAAAGTGTTTTGTATCTGGCAAAGGCATTTTACATGAACTGCACATTACCAGCATGATATCTTTAAAATGAGTTCGGTATTATTAATCTAAAGATAATTTTTTGTCATGTTTAATATTAGCTATTACTGCTCCTTTTTGTGTAGTTTTGTACCCGAAAGATGTGAAGTAGATATCAGAAAGCAAAAAAAATATATTTCAGTATTATTTGTTTACCCTTAACTAATAAATTAATCTTCTAACCAGTTCCAATTATCTGCTATTTGGCGTAAACATCAAATAAAGCGAATTGAAAGACCTGGAAAGAACTTGCGAATGTCGAAACGAAATCAGAAATAGATGGGAACTGACCCAATAATATTTATGACGCAAGTAAAAAACAAAACTCATATTGAACGAAATTTAAGCTACAATCTCGTCTGGTAATAAAATTGTTTATTTAACATTCAGAATGTTTCCTATAATTATAACGGAATATAATCGACCTCAACCAAAGTGGATGAAAAGATTAAGCAGTTTTAGCTTAAACTGCAATGAATTGCATATTTTCTTAAATGCCAATAAAATCAAATTCTACACCATACTTGGGTGTGCTTTGAAGATTAATAAGTGAATCGAAGCGTGAAAGTTATTTTTTAAATAAACGCAAGTGTTTCAATTTAGAAAAGATAAGAAACGGTTCAGATAAATCAAATGAAAGATATTTATAAAAACATCCTACAGCTAGAGCAGAATCCAACCAACAGAATCTAAAGAAACTAGCTAAGAATTCTGCCCAACTTGTTCTTTAAATAAATGAACACCTCCCGAAGCAAGAAACGTCACTTAACTCTGATTTGGATAAATGTGCTCATTCTCTTGGACTGTTTAAAGTTGTGCCACAACGAAAAGGGAATATAATTAAAATAATGAAACAATGCTTCGAATATTAAGTCCGAAACGGAACCACAGATAAACAAACGTACTCTATTAAACTTTTTTATTTAGTTTCCTTTCTGAAATGGGTTTTTCGGCAAACACTGGAAACCCAAAATTCGCTGACTGCTTACACACGTAAAGGACATTTCCATTAGGGCTACACGAGCAAGAAAACCAATCGAGCTGCAACTGAAATCTAAATGAACTGCGTCTCTCCTTCCCCCACAGAGGCTAGACTGTATAAAAGCAAAGTTATGGCCAAAAATCAACGTCGATGTGTGCGTAAAATTGAGTTTCTCGATAATTAATCACACAAACCCAAACCCGGAAAGACTTTTGCAAACAAAAGTGTTTAGTCCCAAAAGGTTCGACGTGCAAGCGACCCCAACCAGACAGACGTACAAACAAACCGGGCACGCCCCTTTTTTTGCTGTTCGATGATACAATTGCTACCCCAAGCCCCCCTCACTTGGGTGCTCAGAGTTCAATAAATTACGACCGCCCCACGAAACCAATGACGTCGACATGTTGGGCATCAAAGGCTGCCCTGACAGCTACGAGACGGCGTAATAAGTTGGCCAAGTAAATGCTCAGCCTCAGTCTCAGTCTCAGCTCCAGACGAGGACTGTCGATGATTACGTTGATGCTAATGATGATTAGGCCTTTGGCTTAAATGTCTTAATCAAATTATGCTTACTTTGATGTTTCTGGGGTGGCTGACTAGCTGACTGGCTGACTGGTTGACTGGCTAAGGCTGCTAGAAGTTGCCGTTGACGTCGATGTCGAGGCAGTGAAGTGCGATATGAGGCGCCTCCAGCTCTATCATGCTATGCAACTTAATGAACTTACATTTTTAGCCCAGTTAGTAGTTAAGTTTGAGTTAGTTGCTGTACATATTCTGAGCGTTCTTTCTGTCAGCTGTCGGCAAAGAACTTTTCCATGAAACTTAATTAGTAACAGCAAAGTGGTAAACCGGAAAATATAGCACAAGTCGCACATGTGTGCCCCCGCCTCCGCGCCCGCCCCCGCCTTAATCCTCACCATCGTCTTTAGCTTCTACTTCCGCACACTCTCAGCCGCTGTTAAAGACACTTGCGTCTCAAGTCGACGGCGACGACACTTTTGGCGGCCTTTTCAAAGCGAAAATCCCAGCAGCGCCTTTGGGAACTTAATCAGCGCTATCGCCAGCTCAGACTACGTGACTAACCCACTTTTTCAGATTTTTGGCTGGGAATTGGGCGCCGTGTTGAAGCTGCGAGGCGTGCAAATCTGTACGCTCAAGATAACTGAAGTGCATGTCTGGCTTTAATATAATTAACCGATTTTTGTGTTAATAAATGTCATGCTCTAGAAACCACAAGAGAAATGCTAAACAGGCGGGCATAACACGCTTTTCTCTCAATCCTCACTCCGCACAGCCCTGACAGCGTTTCGGCTCTAAGCGCATCTCTTGTGCCATCTCCCTGCTCTCTGCTTACTTATGTCAGCTTATTTATTTTGCCATTTAGTGCCATTCCGTATTCTAGCTGTTGATTCTGCTGTTGTTGTTGCAGTTGCTGTTTTATCCGCTTGGCTTAAATGCGCTTCGCAGCATCTAATTTAAAACTGCATGGCAAACTTCTGTGCCAGAAATGTCAGCGCAACGCACACTCAAAGAAAAATACATAAAAAAATATTTGTCCTATAATAGCCATGAAATAATTGGAGAATGTTAAAATTCCGGGAAAGCTGTAGAAATATGTCCAATATTCTGTTGAATGCATTACCCATTGATGTACCTTTGAATCCA